GATACCATGCCGCAGTGAAGCAGAAATACCCCACTAAGACACATTATACTGACTCCGAGCCGACCAGTCCTTGTTGTACCCATTAATTCTGAGCGCCAGGCAGGGACCAACAAGTACCATATTTTAACGTCTTTTGGTATGACGCGGCCGGGGATCGAACCCGCGACCTTCCGCTCTCCGGGCGGACGCTCTAACCACTACATCATAGAGGCGGTTCCAAACTTAAGGGGTATGTGATGAGTAAGTATGGTTGGTAAAGTTGGTTTGTTTGTTGTTTAACACCGCTCTCAGCCGTATTCCAGCTATGTGGTGGTGGTCTGTAAATAATCAACTCTGGACCAGGCAATCAAGTGATCCACAGCATGAGCATCGTTCTACACAATTAGGATATGATGACGTGTCTACCAAGACAGCGAGCCTGACCACCCGATCCCGTTAGTCGCCTCTTACGACAAGTATGGGTTACTGAAGACCAATTCTAGCCCGGATCTTCACGGATGTGTTGGTTAAGCACCAATTCGAACAGTGTTTAGGTAGGTCACTGGATGCCATCTTGATTTGGGAAAATTGTCACAGGGCTGTTTGAAATTGAGATGTTACTGCATCTTGTGAAGTTCTGATTATCTCAGTGAGTGATCGGGTGAGTGAGTGAGTAATATTAAACTGCCAGTTAGCAGTATTCCAGTATTGTCAAGTGTGTCTGAATTAGACACATTTGGGACGAGCCAAAACAGTGACTGGCAGTATGAGCAATACAGTTTGGCCACTACACACAATCAGCCACGAGTCTGGCCACATCATCCAACAGAGCTGCCTTGTACAACCAGTTCCACCCTGGAGTCCCCAAGGGGAACATTGTGATGCTGCTATTGATTCTGGTGATATATCCTCATAGATCCACTATCTACTTACGAGGCTAGGGACCAGTCCACACATGTGGTCATCTGAAGCCAGGTGAGACGAAGTAGGGTTGAACATCGCCTACAAGATTAATGCAGTTTTACAGCCATGTGCATACATGTGTGGGGGTGTGGCTGCTGATAGTGGTCCGGATTCATGCTGGTTTTATAGTGCTAGCCCACTGAGACACGATGGCCTCAGTAGATGGGGTAAGCTGAAATGTTTCAATACAATCCCGTTGTGGTCACGGATTTCTCCCGGTACTGGAATGCCCAGATCCTACAGGTGTAGAAAGCAGCTTCCAAATGGTGGTATCAAAAGTCATCCACAGCGGAAATGGCGTCATCATCACCTGCAAATGATTACCAGGCATGGCTTCAAATCTTAGAATAGATTTAAACATAACGGTCCCAAATATGTTGAATAGGGTGGATGGCAAATGACCGCATCGGTCATGATCGTCATGATTCAAGCCATGGTTTTTGTGTACATTTAAGTTTTACACAATGTTTAGCATATATTCTCATGCAGTTGACTAGCATTACCATAACATTGTCCATTAATAATCTGACCTTTCGGAGATAGTCATCAACAGGATTCCAATGGAATTCCAGAGAAGCGAAGACATCACCTTTCAAGCTGATGCAACAGAATTTGCATTCTTCGTCGGCGAGGTTACATGTTTCCACCTATAAGACTATTGTTTAGTCTCTGGTTGATAGAGGTGAGCCCTCATCCATGGTTATAAATCGCTCAACAAAACCAGCTGGGTCTGCTTCAAAACGACGAAAATACCCAAGACGGATGATGAACCTAGATCGTTTCTGATGAATGTGAAGCCTTGGAACCAAAGGTGTTGAAACCTGTGACATACCCAGTTCATTATCCCCAACGTGCTCCATTCTCTCGCTAAAACCGTTACACTACTATACTGGTTATGTGGAGTTGTGTTCTTAATGCTGACTGTTGAAGATCTTCCTAATCTTGGATCACCTTGGGGTCTGTCTCCACCCTTTCCTTCTCTTTGTTGGTTGTTTAATGCCGCACTCAGCAATACTGAAGCTATATGACGACGTACATTTCATCAACAAACAATACCTTTTACGCCTGCAGAAAAATACTGCTTGGTTATGCATCTGGCTCAAATTAAGAAAGCATAGGCTTCACAAATGCAAAATCAGGACTATACATCCTGCAATCTTGCCTCAGTTTCAACTACCTCCTGTAACATACTGAAGTTAAACATGGATAACCTACACATGTGCTTTGTGCTGTCTATCAGAGGGTCAGTCGGTGTTGCATCCCCTAAACGTTGTACACCAGTCAGTGTCTAAATAAGTACCACCTCCTTTAATGACACAACCATTTTCTGTTCCTGTATGCAACTCTGCATATTGACATGTAGGACCTTGGTCAATATATCATATCATCTGGTTAGGTTTGGTTGTTGTTTAACACTGCACTCAGCAATATTCCAGCTATATGGCGATGGTCTGTAAATAATCGAGTCTGGACCAGACAATGCAGTGATCAACAGCATGAGCATCAATCTACGCAATTGGGATACGATGACATGTGTCAACCAAGCCAGAGAGCCTGACCACCCAATCCCGTTAGTCGCCTCTTACGACAAGCATGGGTTACTGAAGACCAATTCTAACCTGGATCTTCACCGGTCACATCATATCAGTGGATATGAATCCTGTATGATGACCTCACATCTGAGGTATTCCTACATGTAAACATCTACTGTCCTAAATTCACAGTTCACGCATAAGAAAACAAAAACACAAAAAGAATGTAAATTTTAGCCTAATCTTTTATTCATGAATAACAAAATGCAATGTCATAAATGCAACAGTGTTTGTCACTCAAGGAAGAAGCTGTGGCCTTCACAGTACAACCTGTAAACAACACTCAAGGCAAGGGTGGTCCACGACCTGCTCCTCCATCAGACAGTACTTTATTAACCATAGCACATGTCAATCAGCAACTATATTAAACATGGAAACAGATATATCTTCATCAATCTAACAGACACAAACATGACTCTAACAAGACGATGTCTGACAAAGATTGATTGGGCCATGTAAACATGACATGTTTATTGATTTTTTACATCCATTTTACAGTCATAAAAATGACTCCATGAATGGACTCTCCTCCGAAGATGAAGTGCACACTTAAAGGAACTGTCACTTCTTGACATTGCACAGCAATATAGTAAATGTTTTCTCTTAATGTTAATGTGCATTTTGAAATGCCAATGCCAAATTCCAACCCCAATATTTTTCAGTGTGAAGGATGTCAACATTCATACCTCATATCCATCACAGCCCTTGTGGCATTTGTCTTCAGGAAAGAATGTGTATTAAATTTCAAACAATTTATCAAATTGTGAAATATAAAGACATAATTGAGGATGACAACTTGACCAAGTGAGGTTCGTTTAATGTAGTTTTGAACACAATTTTAATTATCTCTAAATAATTGGGTGACTCTGGGATTTGAACCAAGGACCAGATGATTTTGATGTGTTCATGAAGTCAGCACACTATTACTGTACGTTAGACCACTGAGCCAACTGGGCCCCGATTATATCTTGTACTTAGTGGGATTCTCTGTCACATGGGTTGTCGTTTCCTTGAGGAAAGAGTGAGTAAGTGGGAATGGTTTTACGGCGCTTTTAGAGAGTGATTTGGGTTTTATGCCACTTTTAGCATTATTCCAGCAATATCACAGCAATGGACACCATACTTCGCTTGAAGCAATATTCCAGCAATATCACGGCAGGTGAACACCAGAAATAGGCTTCACATGTAGCACCCATGTGGGGAATCAAACCCGTGTCTTTGGCATAACGAGTGAAAGCTGCACTAAGCTATCCCAGCAACCCTATCCTGGAAGAAGTTGAGATTTCTGGCATTGCACGGAAGAATACAACACCTACGAGTACCCTCACTGCTTTGGTATTGACATATTCTGCGTTGGAATAGGTCCTCAACACACTTATTCTTGTCAACTAATTACTAAGTGAGAGTCTAGTCAGTGCTCATAATATCAATCACTTGTTTGTGAGGTCCAGATTAATGGAGGATGCCATAATATGACTAGAATATTGCTGACAGCAGCATTTAACATCAAACTCACATGGATGAATGTAAAACCATATTTCAAGTGATGGTGGTCAAGTGAGTGAGGGGAACCTAAAGAAGAGTCCTCTATCTCATCCATACCTTCAACATGTGACTCTGGTCTAAAGCTCTACCAACTGACCTAAGACTACAGGGGGTCTGGGACAAAAGACACCCCTGTGGAACTCAAAGTAAACCCTTAATGCCTTTCATAATAATAAACAGAAAGAAAATGCCTGTGAATCTTAACAGTCTCCTTTCTTTACCGACATAAAATATTACAGTATTGCAACAGTAGTACCATGAAGTCATTGACACCATAAGGATAGATGGTACATATTCTCCCATGATTTCATGACCCATGAAAAAACCTGCATACATCATGTACATGTTACCTAAGCTTGGCCATAACTGTTGACTGTTTTCATCATTGGCTTCAGACCCATGAGAAAGGCTTGTCAAGCTGCAGTCTACAGACCACGATTACATACAGACCACTATTACATACACAGCTTTACTGACATTAGTCAAATTTTGGTACTACTGGTCTGTCAGCTCTAGGATCTGAGGTAGTCTTCCAGGCTTGTATCTAGGATAACAGTCCGTGATTCCTACCAGATACAAGGTATTTCCAACCGAAGATACTTTCTGAGAAAAATCTATTTTTCTGCTAGTTTCTTCTTCAAAGCCTGATACAGAAACTCGACCACCAGTAGCTAGGCTCAGTACATCCTACACTGCAAGCACCCTTAAATTTGTCTGAAGATCATATTCTGAGATAGTTCCAGTACTGGTGTAGGTGACTGTGCTGCAGACACCATCTGGTTTTCTTGAAGACCTTTCTCCTTAGCCTCAATGTTCCAGTACCTTTACCGTATAATGTTCCAGTACCAGTCGACCATGCGCCCGTGTAAGTACTTCCAGTACTTCTCATGCACAATGTTCCAGTACCCGGTATATGGACACCATCTGGTTTTCTTGAAGACCTTTCTCCTTAGCCTCAATGTTCCAGTACCGGTATAGTCGACCACACGCCCATACCCAGTACTTCTCATGCTGCGGACACCATCTGGTTTTCTTGAAGACCTTTCTCCTTGGCCACAATGTTCCAGTACTGGTTTAGTCGACCACACCACTGCACCCAGCACTTCTCATGCTGAGGACACCATCCGGTTTTCTTGAAGACCTTTCTCCTTGGCCACAATGTTCCAGTACTGATGAAGTCGACCACACCACTGCGCCCAGTACTTTTCACATTGCTGATGGTCGATCACATGGACATGGGCCGGCTCGCCCCAGGGGTACGCAATTACAATAACAGCATGAGTGACAGGGCCATGCTGGAAAACAAAGAATTTAGTTGAAATCAACAGTTAGTGGTAATCTTTGACATCCAAAAATGACAATGTCTATGCTCTTTTCCAGTGATATATCTATATCAATATATATTGATCTACATCAGTCACAGGGGCGGTGGGGTAGCCTAATGGTTAAAGCGTTGGCTCGTCATGCCGAAGACTCGGGTTCGAATCCCCACATGGGTACTATGTGTGAAGCCCATTTCTGGTGTCCCCCCGCTGTGATGTTGCTGGAATATTGCTAAAAGCGGAGTAAAACCAAACTCAGTCAGTCAGTCAGTACATCAGTCACAGTGCCAATATTTCAGTCAGGGTAGGGACACTAGACACTTCACACATTGCCTCCATGTAAGAAATCGATCCCAGGCCTTGGACATGATGAGCAAATGCTTTCACTACATGGTACCCTTACCAACCTTTAATATTTGATGTCTCACAATTAGGTCGGTTGGTTTGTTTGTTGTTTAACACGGCACTCAGCAATATTCCAGCTGCATAGTGGCGGTCTGTAAATAATCGAGTCTGGACCAGGCAATCTAGTGATCATCAATCCACACTATTTGTCAACCAAGTCAGCAGGCCTGACCACCCGATCCCGTGGCCTCTTACAACAGGCATGACTTACACATCTTCACAGGTGTCACAGTCAGGGCATACCTTATCTTACCCTGCAGATTATGTCTTCAAATACATGCCAGCACTCAACATGGCATGAACAATGAAATAAGAGCTAGTAATAAATGTTAAAAGTCAATAAAATATTAAAGTCTACACATTTGATTTAAGCATAAATTCATGCTTTTCTTATGTCCACAGAAAACTAAAATGTAGTTCTACTTATCAGGCAATCTAAGTACCAGGACCATGAATGCTCTTAACTCAACCAATGAAGAATGTCGATGTTGGGGATCTGTCATTGAAAGAGGCTTTGAGCACAGCGCTGTCATACCTATGATAAATCATTCCAATCAACTGGCTCTGTAAAAAGGGACAGGCTATCTATTATAGCAGAACAGCATGTACAACTCAATAGGTCTACCCCCAATATTGCACCAAACGATTTACCATTCAAAGGGATTGGAGACGTAACACAAGGCATGATTCACAGTATTTCCATCTAAATTGCACTATACAATAACCTTTACCCGGACATTTGGAATCAATAATAATCTTTCTCAAGTACTCTTTAACACCACTGTAGACCACTGTAACACCAGCGTTGACGACACAATGGTAAAGAGGCCAGCAGAGGGACGCCCATCTCATCCACCTGTAGTGATCAGTTGTCAGGCCGCTAGTACAGCTAAGTGAAGTAACCTGTGTTGATTATTTGCCTGCCAGGTGTTTCGTTATACTGCCCTATTACCAGGACATGTTTACAACCTACTGACCTGACATAAAAACCACATGGCCGGGGCATGTTGTATGAGGACACTTACACAGAAAATCTATTTTCACATAACAAGCCTAGCTGTTCTTCTTGATTACAGAATATTTGTATTACAGTTGTTATGCCTTTTACCATCAGTAAAATGTACACTGGATCACTGATCACTTGATTCATTATAAAACATCAAGAAAATTTAAAACAGTTTAAGGTGTTCAAGGGACACCAAAATAATATAATACAGTTTGAGGCATTCAAGGGACACCAAAATAATATAAAACAGTTTAAGGTGTTCCAGGAACACAAAATAATATAAAACAGTTTGAGGCATTCAAGGAACACCAAATAATATAACATCTTAAGGTGTTCAAGGAATACTAAAATACTATGAAACAGTTTAAGGTGTTCAGGAGACACCAAAATAATATAAAACAGCAACACCAGAGTTATTCTGGCAAAACAGATTCCACTGGATGTACAAAGCAAACTATCAGTAATTCTATATATTCTATATATCATTATTAGTGAAACATTAAACATCAGTGGTAATACAACCTATTCATAAAAACGGTAAGTATGTCCTGCCACTTCCAGTTCTACGTCACAGTAGTCACACTGTTAATATCCACTTGATCTTTTTCTGGAAGCAATCTCACTGTGAAGAGGTCTCAATTTATCTTATTTCCACGTCTAATTGTACTGACATAATCTCCTCATGTCCAGCGACGTAAGTCAACACGTAACCCGACTTAAACAGACCACACTGTTGAACAAGGGCCCAAGTCAACCAGCTATTACAGGAGTTTAACTGTTGTTTGTCACTAAACAATTGAAAGTCCATTACATACTTTTGAAGTCACGTAACCTCAAGAGGATCAGTGCCATTAAACAAACATCAGTCCATTCAAGACGCTTTGATAGCCTGATTAAATACACCCAGACAAGTGGTGCAAACTTCCTCATTGAAACAAATTATATCTACATATAATTATGGAAAAATATGAAAAATGATTACAGTGTTTCATAGCAGCAGCCACTTTAAACACTACATTCTGACCTTATGCTTGAAGTATCAAATATACTACTCACAAGCTGTTAAAGAACACCAATTCTTTCATATTGCTACATTTAACCTACGATTACATGAGTCGAACAGATGGTTCTTTAACTTCTTTTGAGCTGTATACTAATTACTTTACTTATACTGTTAACTGCTGAGGATAATGCACCTAAGTTGACAAAATACCTTTGGAAACAAAAACACAAATGATTTGGTCTAACAATATTCAATATTTATGTTTTCACTTTTAAATAAATATGAGACTGACAACAATCACTGAGATCATGAAAGTGACTTTGGCTTGAAGCCACTATACACAGTATTTCAGTGTAACTCCATTTTGGTGGAGTCACTTGGGTTTAACATTGATGTAAACAGTATTCAAGTTACATCACGCCACGTCATGCGGGAGGAGAGACTGGGGTGATGCAGTTCTTAGATGACCTCTGGTTTGTTACCACCTTGGCTATTGGTTGGTTGTTTAATGCCGCACTCAGCAATACCCCAGCTACATGGCAGCGGTCTATAAATAATCAAGTCTGGACCCGACAATCCAGTGATCAGCATCATGTACATCAACCTGCACAATTGGGACACGATGACATGTATCAACCCAGTCAGCAAGCCTGAACACCCAATCCCATTAGTCGCCTCTTATGACTCTTGGGTTGCTGAAGACCAATTCTAACACAGATCTTCATGGGTGACCACCCAGGTGAAATCCAAGAGTATAGGTATGGTTCAAACATAATCGAGACAAACTGAAATTCAAGGGAGTCACCTCTTCACATCAATTTGTTGCGCCTGACATAACTCGCCCACCTATGCCTAGAAAAGCATAATCAGGGTTAATGTGAGACTTTAACCTATTTCCAGATACAAAGATACCAATGTTGATCTAACCTATTGGTCATTTCCTAAAAAAATAATAAAACTGTTTCACAAAAACATCAGAGCTCTTAAGACTTGTTGAATTCAAACACCCTCCCACCAATTTCAACCTCTTCCCAAATATACCGAACCCTTTCATATGCTGCATATTGCTTTCATTTCCCAGAGATAACAAGTATTGCGATCCACCACGTCAGCGTCCAACATGTGACATGTTTGCTATTGTAAGTAGTGTACACATATGCATTGTTTGGTAAGGTTATCTTCCCTTGTTCCTCGTGTGCGGGCCGAGGCCACAATGTTCGGCACTATGGCCAGGTCTATCCACATATTGACTATTGTCACTTCACAGACTATGGTGAGAGGTGGCACATACAGCTGGTTTATGTTGTGCTTTGTATGTACTCTGACACAACATACAAATACACACAGGGTCATGTTGACAAAGCCACAAATCCCTCTTATCATGTGTGCGTGGAGGGATCGCAGGTCGGAGGTGTCAGTCAATCAGATACATCACACAGTGTTGCCCATACATAAAGATGTCCCTCTGTTGATAACATGATCACAACAGTTATGCTCTAAAATAATCACTTGCTTACTGTTTTTTTAGACTTTCAGAAAATTCCATTTTTGGACATCAAAACTGAGTTTCCAAACATTGCACCCATGTGGGGAATGAACCTAGGTTTTTGGCATGACGAGTTAATGCCTTAAACAACGGGCTACCCTTACGACACAATATTTTTGTTCATGACTTTGTACGAGATTGATCTCTGGTTTGTTATGTTGAGGAAGCTCTGTTAGATCATTCATGACAAACCAAGGGTCATAACTGGGATCAGTGTGAGGTACCAACACTCAATCACAAGATCCGTAACATCAAAGATATCGAGACCAATGAAACTCCGGGTTAGAATATTGCTCTTCATGAAACCCATGCTTGTCGTTAGAGGCGACTAACGGGATCTGGGTGGTCAGGCTCGCTGACTTGGTTGACACATGTCATCGGTTCCCAATTGCGCAGAACGATGCTCATGCTGTTGATCACTGGATTGTCTGGTCCAGACTCGATCGACAGCTTCGAAGAACCGTGGTTTTCAGGGGGACAAGTCAATGCTTTAGACATTCTGCTAACCTACAGCACACAGCCATGGATGGACATTCTTTGGTTAATTTTGAAAGTAAACCTTCCAGGATAATACTGCCATTTTTCAAACTTCCAATTTTTTAAGTCTGTGCCCTTTACCACAAACCTGAATCTCTTTTCTATGTCTATCCCACCAGTTAACATAGTTGCTGATAGTAATTACGTTGGAGTAAATACAAGAGCCTTAAATACAAAGGACACTGTACATGTACTGCAGACTTAAATAAATGACTCTCATGTTGCCTTGCTTCAATTTGCTGTTGACCTGACAGAAGAAATACAGGAAGCCTTGCTACAATAACCACAAACAGCATAGAGACTGTTGACCTGACTGAAGAAATTGACAGGAAGCCTTGCTACAATAACCACAAACAGCATAGATACTGTTGACCTGACTGAAGAAATACAGGAAGCCTTGCTACAACAACCACAAACAGCATAGATACTGTTGACCTGACTGAAGAAATACAGGAAGCCTTGCTACAACAACCACA